AGCTAGGATCATAGCCGGCACCTTGTCATTACGAAGTGCGCTCGCAACGCCTAAGCCACATACATCGACTGCACGATGGACCAAATAGACGTAAAGTCAACAAACTTAAACGAGGTCAGTCTTGTTTGGGGCATGACAGGCAAAGACAATACTTCAACGGCTGATTTTCCTTCAAGCATAAACCATGGAGAGGAATGGATACCCATACCTTTTGAACACAAGCAGTACTTTGTGGTGGTAAGCGCCTGACAAGACAATGCCTTGATGTGGCGCCATCAATAGTTGATGCGGAAGTGATAGCATTGGTGAACAAGCATCACCAGAAGATGTTGCTATACATACAGATAGTCTAGTGATTCGTCAGAAGCGAAGTGCATGGGCTCTCACCACAAAAACCACAGGGAAAAAATCATCAAAGAAGACAGCGGGGCCTTTGTTTCTTCACCAGTGGCATGACCGCGAAGGCAATGGCTATGACAAAGGCCCTAGAATGTGTGAAAACGCAGGAATTCACCAATGCATGTTTGGTCAGCTACTCAGAAGATCCAGTCGGGGTATATATCGAAAAATGTGGCTCCGTCTGATAAAACATGCAGCGTTTTGCAACAGTAGCTACATTTGTGTACCATGGCATACTAATGTTGAAAGATTTAAAAAAAAAAAAAAAAATCAATTTAAACAAAAAGCAAACAAAAAGTAGAAAAAGAAAACATCCGGTATGATGTTGAAAAAAAATGATAAACTGGGACTCTTCAAAATGACCTGAGGGCTTTCTTTATAATTGAGTCCGTTTTTTGTGAGTGGTGTTCAATTGACTTTCTTGTTGTGGCGCGTTGGTGCGCCTGACCGTTTCTGATTGGGGCATGCTTTCCACTGGTCTGCTTGTCAGGCTGTATGCTTAGTCCGGGCTGCGGTTTGTGTTCCTTCAACATGACGGGGAAGGGGTAACTGTCCTAAAGTTAGGCTGGCGTACGGGGAATGGGTGGGACTGCTGTGGTTCGGTGCTGCCTGTTTGTCTGTCTGGCTTGGTGTGAGTCTGGTGTTGGTTCACAGAAATTCTACAGTGCTCACGCTGCAATAAGGCGTGGCACACAGCCGCATCCTGCCGCAGCAGCCTAAGATGCCGATACTGTTCCAAGGAGCACGATTTCAAGGAGTGCTTTTGGCCAAAGAGGACTCTGATTTCAAGAAACCAAACCCAAGAAGACTATGCTCAAACTGTGCAGAGGCTCACAGCGCGAGGTACCTCGGTTGCCCGTACCTCAGAGAGATCTACAGGGGGATGCTGAATTAGGAGGCAACCAGACCGAGCACAAAGAAAAGCCAGCCAGCCTCATTAGTAAAAGTTAGAACGCCCGACAAGATCAATATTGTCAACAGAGATCCTGAACTGATGCGCGCAATATCAGAAGTGAGGGCAGAGCTGCAGAAGGAGAAAGCCACCACTGCCGCCAAGAAAGCTGAAACACATGAACTAATTACCCTAATGCTGAGTGAAATCAAAGCCATAAAGGAGGTCAGTTCAGTACAAGCAGCTCAACAAATTAAAAACAACAAGCTCGACGCGGAAACCAAAGAAAGCAGCCGCGTACTAGCCGTAAGCCTAAAAGCAGCCCAGGTAGAAGCAGAAAAGCACCAACAGTATGACAGGCAGGAGAGAAAGAAGGATATTTCAGAACTCAAGGTGGCCCGAGAAAGCACCTACCTTGACTGACCCAACAGGAAGCGAAGAACGAGGCGGCTGTGCTAGAACTCAAGAAGATGGCCATACAGGATGAGAAAACGGCTGCATGGATCAAATTAACCAGTATCCATAACGAACGCAGAAGCACGAGAGATAATACAAGAACTAAACGCAGTACAGCAAAAACTCTCCAATGATGCAGAAAAGATCGACCAAATTGTGGCTGCAGCTTCCCAAGAACAAGAATGTGAGGACGAAAGTGACCAGGAAGAACAAGGACCTGATCCCGAATACGAGGACTCTGACCCGAACACAGATGCAGAAAACTCAGACCAACAAGATCTTAAAAGCCTAGAACCAGAAACCCCAAGAGAAGGCGCAGTATTGACAGACAATGATGTGGACAGCGAGGCCATCCTACAAGCATTGATCGCACACTATAACAAATTAATGCACCCGCATGCACTCGCGCTGATCAACAAAAAATACAGAATACAGCTCTGCAAGGAAGAAGTTGCAAGAGAGCGATCCTTTCCAGCCGACTTGCGCAAAGCCTTGCGAGACATAAATCAATACATGATGTGGGAGGCCACCATAGCCCTTAATGGCGTTAACGCTGCTCGAAGGGAACAAGCACGCCAACACTGACAAAGTGATCACCCGCACTGACCCACCCAAGACCAATAGGACCCAACAGGCGAACCAACCCGCCCGAGGTATGACGAAGCCAGCAACCAACCAGTACCGACCAAGCCGCCATGACACCTATCAAAACCAGCTTCTCGGACCGGAAAACCTCACTTGCACAAAACCAGCCAGGCATGATTAACCCGACAGCCAAATCCACTCCCACCCATCCCTGACGCAGGCCGTGCCAGGCATACTCTACTAGTCCTTTTCAGGACTAGTAAACCTTCCAATCCCAATTCAAGCCATTTTTGCAGAACCTCAAGGAAAACCACAACAAGACGTGACACCACGTAGCATACAAAGAACGAAACTAAAACCGTACATAAACAACGGACGCAATTAAAACCAAGCCCCAGAGGCAGGTTGAAGCCGTCCTAGTTTGTTTTTTTCCCTTTTCAATGCAATGCAAGGATGTACGTTTAGCTCGTGCGGATATATTTACTCATAAATCCTCCGCTGAAGCTCCTGTAAGTCGGCATCGGTGGTTTCAGTGCCTTCCTCTGGGAGCTCTGGTAAGACTTGGGTTATTTCGTCATCTGCTACGACGGCTGGCGTTTCGAGTTCTAGGCTTTCGATATCTGGTTGGTCTGCGTCTTCTGCCTCCGAGTTCTGTTCAGAGTCTTCGTATTCTGGATCAGATACTTGTTCTTGCGTTTCTGCCAGGTTTAGCTGGGTTTCAATAAGATTTTTTCATTTCGCTTACTGCTTCTTTCAGGATTTTTTGTATATTTGTCTCTTGTTCGGACTTTTCTTTCTGCCGGGTTCTCTCCAAGTTGACTGTTAGTAATGCTGCGTCTGCTTTTGATATTGCCTCTTCTTGCCGAGCGATTTCTTTGTAGGTACTTTCGCGGGCTTCTTTGAGAGCGGCCATCTCTCTCTGGTGTTCCTCTCTTTCTGCTTGACGGCGAGCTACATCCTGGTCGTGTGCTGTTTTTAGCTGCGATAGTAGGTCTTGCATTTTTTCTGTTGCCTTAATTATTTCAGCTAGCTGCTTGGTTTATTGCGCAGCTTCTGCTATCCTGTCTCTTTTCTGGGCTATGATTTCGTCGAGTGTTTGGGAGATTAGTCCTAGCATGTCGAGTCTTTCAGTGGTGGCATTCTCTCTGTCTGCTGTCAGCTTCTCGACTGCGATTTTGAGTTTTGCCACTTCCTGGGTTATTGTGGTGTCGTTTGTGACTGGAATCACCTTCTCTGTTCTTCTCTCTCGTCTCGGTTTTGCGGCTTGCAGTTTGCACTTTTTAAGGTAAGTGCAGCCCAGGTATCTCGCGCTGTGGGCCCCTCCACAGTGTGAGCATCGTCTGCCGGTGTTAGGCTTTTTAAAGTCAGGGTCCACCTTGGCCAGGGGGCACTTCTTAAAATCGTGCGGCTTAGAACAATAGTGGCATGCTGGGCTGCTGCGGCAGGTTGCGGATGTGTGTCACGCCTTGTTACAGCGTGAGCACTGCAGAACTTCTGGAATGTGGGATCCCAGTCGCTGCTGCTGCTGCCTGTGTGGGCGGGTGTAGGTGGGTTCCTGCGCCACGACTGAGGCGACTTCTAATTGTTCTGGTGCCGCGATAGGGGCCGCATCCAAGGCTGGCGGCGTCTGGGTGGGCGAGGCTGGCGACTCGACCGGGGCGTCAATCAGTTCTGGCATCGTCTGCACCCTAGGTGCTGGTGCGATTACAGGTGCTACTTCGTTGGCTGACGTTGGTCTGGTATCACGGTCCTGGCTCGGCTTCATTTGGCTGGTTTTGCCACAGGCCATAATTGATGTGGCTGGCAAAAGCTGTACTGGTCGGGCGGCTGTTGAAAGCTAGATCCTTGAAGGGTCACAAGACTTGTTGAGTATCCTGAAAAGGACACCAAGTGTGCCTTCCTGACAGTTCACTAGACAATCGTTTGCTACTAATGCGTACAACGTACAACGGGCTGTTAAAACTCCACCCGCAACGCCGAATGTACAATAACCAGTCGAGACTGACTCAGCTGAATGTCAAGCGAATCGGTGTCAAGTATCTGGTTATCGAGAATCGGGCAACGAATGAAGAGTTAGCGATCGAGCGGGAGACGAGAGGTGCTTGCGACTGGCTATCTCTTCTCCTGAACCACAATTCCCAGTTTAATCACCCAGATGTTTTGAAAGAAGTTAAAGTTCGAGGACAGCTTATCACAAACGTCAGAAAGAGACTGTTATCATACTGTGGTCATATTAGGAGAAGAAGCAAACTCAAATATGGTGTGATGTGACCACTGGAACGATCTGTTGATAAAGGATACAGAGGAATACAGAGCTTTGTGTCATGACATCAGGGAGTTGAGGAAAGAGGGCTGTAGAGAGACATGATCTCAATATCAATCGCCAGTCACATTGCTTATATTAAAGCAACTGTTTACGAACTTAACTAGAGAGAAAAGACAACAATTATGCTGTAAATATTTCGCACGATCGTTACGTGTTGAAAGCTAGGTTTTTTAGCCCATATTTCTAAATGTACATTTATATAATGAGAGCAGTATATTCAAGAAAGCATCGAGAGCAATTCTTTAAGTGATAGTTATAAATCTAGAAACAATTCTTGGTGGATTAAATTTGGCAAACAAAATTAAAAAAAAAAATTCTTTTCATCTTTCTGCTTAGGTATCCATGGTTATTGCAGTGTGGCTGATCTACATTGCTCTTATTTCATGGGGTCGTATGCAAGATAAACAAGATGAGATAAAGGTAATATTGTAGCTATTGAAATACGTGTAATGCTATTTCAGATGTTATGAGATGGGATAGGTCAATAGTGCGGCTGTCTCTTATAGTGTGAGTTCGTCATCATTTTTCTGATATGCAAATTCGTGAATTGGTTTCTTTTATTTTTTTTTAAAATTTGTTGTGTAAATTAAATGCCTGCTGTGATACATTTCATACTTTACTCTTTGCTGCGCTTTGGATGTTTTTCATAGGCTCGACAGTCGCTATTTACTATAAATGTCTAACCCTAGAGGTGTGTCGTCTGTCAGGTTATGCAGCAGTACCAGTTCGTGAGCTGACCGCAAGGACACCAAAGTTGTTTCCCATATGGTCTGCAGACTGCGCCCTTTGAAGTGATAGGGAATTTGACTGGGTGGTTGTGCCAGTTATGGAAATAAATGGCTAGGTTGGCTACTACTACGCAATATTGGAAGGTGATTCGGGGTTACAATTCGGATCTTCAGTGATCCGTTGGTTCACTTCACAGCACGCTATGTAGGTACAGAGACAGGAAATAAACTTGAACATCATGAAAAAACACATGTTGATCACACCTGATCGATACGAAAAAGAGTATTCCTTCCAGCACATGTTTCACTGACAGTCTACATAGGAGCGACCGACATCAGCCACTTGTAATATTGTCGCGAGGTACCTATAGACTGTGTCTCATGTGTGTGTAATAGATAACTATAATGTAGGGCTACCAAGACGTACTGAAGGTTGTACAAAAATTGTGATAGACGACAGGTACGAAGTGCACAGAAGAGCTTGCAAATAGGAACATTTGCCGCGAGATAAGTTTCTGGTAGACATTTTCAAATCCTTTCTTCGACTGATAAGACCAGAGCTGAACGTGTGAAAACCGTTTACGCCAGAAACTGTAACTTCAGTCTGTGTCAATCTGTGATTTGACACGCGGAATGCCTAGCAGGTGTAATTGAGGTACCACCAGCTAACTTAATCTGTTTACTATCGCTACAGCTGTTCTTCTACCATTCATGTAATACTTCAGCCTGTGGATTTTTTTCGCGGAAAAATGGTGCAACCTTTGTGTGAGGTAGCTATGATTGCTAACTCCAGTGGTTCCTATCACTAACACCATGCTCATATATAATAATTATAAATAATATAAGGGCTGTACCGAATAGTGATTTTCACTATTCGGCTGAATACGAATAGCGGGACCAACTATTCGGCCGAATACGAATACAAATAGTGCATAATGAATAAAATATATCTAAAAAAAAAAAAAAACATATTCATAATGTCAAATGTACGCTGAATTTTTACTTCACATAAAGTAGCACAGAATAGTCATCTTATTCTTTAGCATTCTGAGCCCTTGAGGTTTACTGCTGCAGATATCACTCGTCTCCATTCATCTCTCTGGCTGACCTTATCTTCACAATTTGTGACACCAGTTGTTTGCAGGCCTGGCTGAACATTATCTCTCGAACTTATTTTTTTGTCTGCCTCGTGGTAGACGCCCATTCCTCTCTCAGGTGTATAGTTTATACTTCTCTGTCATCTGACATTTTTTCAATATGCCCCAACATTTTAGTCAGTTAGCTCATGATGCCAATGATCAATGGTGATTTAAACAGATTATGTATTACGTTGTTGTTTCTTACTCTCCATTCCCCACTGTTAGCATCTTTGATGGGTCCAAAGATTTGTCGTAAGACTGTTTTCGAAAACCTGTAATAAGGCATCATCTCTTTTATTTCTGCTTCAAGTTTCAGAGTCATATAAAACGACTGGTCTTTTCAAAGTTTTATATATTTTGTTCTTGGTGTTGCAAGACAGACACTTTGACTTTAGTAGATGTTGAAGGGCATAGTACACTTTATTTCTAGATTGTATTCTAGATTGTATTTCTTTTCTTAGCATGTTGGAACAGTTGAAGTTTGCAAACAAGTAGTTATATGTTTCCGTTCGTTTGATTTTCATATTATCGACTTGCATGTGGCCGGAATTTATATTCTTTCCATGTCTAGTTAGTATTCGTACAGAATAGTAAACATTTAAAATCATTTTGTGTTCTGCATCCTTCAGTCAATCTGTGGTAACTAATAACTAGCATTGAAAGAATCCTAAGTATTATAACAAGGAATGAAACTTGGAAATTGTCACTGACCGCTTAGTTAATGCAGGAAAGCTGTATTAACTTTCAACAAAACCAATCGTTCCATGTTGTCAGCATTAAGGTCGTGTATGCAGAAGCGGATGTAAGGTAACTACTAATTCGTATTCGGCTCGACTGCAACTATTCGGCCGAATACCGAATAGTCAATAGGTCCATTATTCGGCTCCGAAGCGAATACGAAGCGAATATTTCCTACAGCCCTTAGTAAACATATTATGTAGTTGCTTATTTGATTCAGCTGTGTTTATTCATGAGACATTTTTGAGTGTCTGAAATTGTGGTAACTCTTACACTGTCTGTGCTAAGTGAAATCTCACTCGAGCACATTTCTCGGCGTGGAGATATAAATTATATTATGATTGAAATTGAGAACGAGTTGGTCATTCTGTGACCGGGCCCCAGATTAAAAGGAAGTTGAGCTGAATCCAGAGTGATAAGCCTAAATGTAGATCTGGATGAGAATAGAGTGAACGTTATTCCTGAACGACAAGAAGCGGAGCTTTATTTAGTTACAGATCAGGACATCAGTTGTGCTCTACTGCCTGTTCGTTGGTTATGCCAGTCGTGTACATGCCAGTATCCGTCGTCTGAAGTGTGGCTGGAGACTCAGAGCGTGGGCAAGGCGAGATTGCCCAAATTGTGTAAGTCATTCGTTCTACGGTTGATTCTTGTCGCTCGTCGTTTATTGATAATAAACCTGTGAAGTGCTGTCAACTGTCGTCGACTGTCATTTAAAGACGTATGCAAGTTGGAGAGAAGAGAAGTTTCACTGAAATGAACTGTGACATAACACTAAGACAACAGAGCTAGTGTTGAAACAGCACAAGAGTGATAAAGTGCGGTGGAGACACATTACACACGCCATCGAGCTTATTTGGCATATAGGGCTAGACCTCACTAAATTAGCATCTGATCCTGTCAGTGGTTAATTGTGGCCTGGGACTGCTTACTGTCTCAAAGAGTCAGATGGACAAACTAGAGCGCATACAGAACGCCACTATGCATGTCATTCTGTTGCACCAGAGACACCACAGTGGTGTGTATGCGATATATCCTTGGTTTGTCGACCGTTGCAGGTAGGTACAAGGTGCGTCAGGCGAAGTCATATCTCAAGGTAGCTGCAGACACAGACCACCCATATAGCTCTGGGTGCAGTCAAGGGTCAGCGGCTGACAAGAGGGATGTCAAGGATGGCTAAGCCGAAAGACACAATCAGGCAGGTTTGCATCCTTGAGAACATTAGGCGAGGAGAGGAGTTGGTCAACGTGCTACCTGAACAGTCTGACCTGTGTAAAGTAATAATCACGCCAAGCCGGGAATGCAGAGACTGGCCAGCAGGTGCCACGGAGGTGGAAATTCAGCAATAAATTTAAGATAATGCTCGCTCAGCGAAATTGATCATTTACACAGACGGTTCAGTGTCAAGAGGCAAAAAAATTTTTTTTTTTTTTTTTTTTTTAAGCAAAAGATAATGGTCGACGTTTGGTACAGGAGAGCCTAATATATGATACCACAACATCCAGCTTAAGAATGGAGGTGGAGGCGGTCACTGTAGCTTTTCTCTGGCTAGAGAACACTACACACACACACACAACCGTGATTGTAACTGACTCAGAAAGCATGCTGAGGAAGATCAGAACAGGTACGCTTCGTGCAGAGTGGCATGCTTCGCGGAGGAGGACACTGGTGCGGAGTATTGTCTGGATTCTTTTACTGGTGACCGCCGGTGTGTTGGGAAATGAACAGGCGGACAGACTGGCTGGCTCTGAACAACTTGGTGGAATACTGATACATGATAAGGCAGACGTGGTTAGTGCCTTGTGGGAGAGCGTGTACAGTTCAGAGGAGCGGATTGATCACCACAGTCTGGTGAGATTGATGCAGCGGGGAGTGAAGAGAGGTTCTGGCAGATGCTCGAAGTTCAGAGGAAAGGCAAGACGGACGTTTGATACGAATGCTACTGGCACCATTAGTATCGGAACTCTTCTATGGCTGCTGAAGATGGGGACGGGGCGCGTATGGGAATGCCCCGAGTGCTGTGATGTCGGTTCTTGAATCAAATCATATCAAATAGGGCTAGATCTGTACCTTATAGACCAAATGGCATTTCATGTCGTCAGTATTACAACGACCGCCTTTTCTTCACATGACCATTCGCTCTGAAAGGTGCCGAGAACAGTAATATAGTCTGAATATGCAATTTAAATTTAAAAAAAAAGTTTTAGCAGGGGCATGAACCCTAGACATTCCGCGTAGCAGGCGGATGTGCAAACAGCTAGGTTGCAGAATAATTTAACAAAAATATGTTTCGTAACACTAGTATGTCGGCGTCTGAAGCTTAGGCTTTGCGAAAGCGCTTTGTAATGTCCGGGTGTCAGGTTCGATCCCAAATTGCCTTGCGCTGGTTTTGACAGTGGTACCGAGAGCTGACTGTTGAGAAAACAGTGGCAAACTACTCAACGTAAAATTAGCCTAGAAAAAACACAACAGCCAAAATATGCTGGGGTTGGTTATCCAACGTCTTGTGTAGCATACGCAAATAACTTTTCTAACAAAGCATAAACGCATATGACATAAACTACATAATTATAAAAAAAAAAAAAAAAACTAATTGAATATTAGGTATAATTAATGTAGATGAGAATTTTCAGTATATAGCAGTCTTATGCTTGAGTTGTTAATTCTGGGTACTTACAAACCTAGAGGGGGCAAAGAAAAGGCACAGATCTTCACCTGCTCTCATCTCATTGCAGGTGTAAAGAAATATTCATCTTCTTTACGTTCACCGCCTGTCAAGTTCTGGTCGTTCGTCCACTTTTGAACTAAGGTCTTGCTTCAGAACATGAGTTTTGCTTGAGCATTCCTTACGGATCTGATCTGTGTGTAGACTGCCGGTTAATATTTTCAGCGTCTTTTTAAAGTACGAATATTTAATCTCCCATCCTGTTTCCTCTTTGTCTCCACCGCTGCCGTATGTTTAGTCACTGACCCTATGTGCACCCCAGGCACCCCGTGTAATATTAATATCAGTATTAACTTTTTGGGAAACAGACCCATGCATCGTCTGTTATGTATGTGGTTACAAGGGAGATAACAGCAACATATATTTTTTTTTTAAATTACCCTTATGACAGATTTAATAGAGAAAGACAACAAAGTGGATATTACACCAGTGAACGTTTACTTTTATTTATTGTTGCCTGGCAGCCAGTGTCACTGTTCAATTAAAGATTTTAGCTATAATGGCAGCTGAAAATGTAACCTCTTTGGTAGTCACGGTTTCGGAGGAGTTTAAAAAACCCACACAATACAGAAAAGCTTCTGTGCTTTATAGTGTATATGTATGTGTGTATATATATATATATTTATATATATATATATATATATATATATATATATATATATATATATATATATATATATATATTAAATGCTATATGCAGGGCCTAGACGAAAGCCTGGTGGGGCTTCAAAATAAAAAAAAATTGCGTCCCATTTGGGAGAGTAATTATATTATAATAGTTGAAATTGCCCCAAAATAGGACGCACATTTTAGTTATTTTAAAATTATATCCGGGTGTCCTCCGGGGCCCTAATATAACACAAAAGTTGAATAAGGTTTCTAGAACTTGTACACCGCTGACCCTCATCCGAATCGTTGCACTTTGTGTCTTCTGGTGTTGGCCACTCGTTGTGAGGTGCTTGTGGAAAAATGGGGGGGTGGGGGGCGTTAACGTCAGTCAGCAGCAGTTGCATATTTTATACTCACATGCTGCATATTGTCAAGACAAATGTAAGTATTAAAAAATAATACGCGTTATCGCCTAATATTGGACACGTGAACATATTTGTGTGTGAGAAAAACGCAGTGACAGCATTTAACAGTAACAGAGGAGCGTATGGTTTTACTATTTGTAACCTGATGAAAATGGAAATGGGCTGTCTTTGCAATGAAATCCACAAGGTAAATAAGCGTCAAGATCAAGATATGACTGCACATAATAGGAACAGACAAGGGTACCTGGCGCAAATCAGTTGTGGGTCTATGTTCCTTTGGTGGATACAGGGTTGAAGAAAGATTCCTAAAAATGTGATGTTTCAATGTTTCTTGTGTGATACTCTGTTTACAGAAATTAACTAAAATAATTTCTTTTTTTATAGACAGCATTAACAGTGCTGGATGACAACAGAGAAGAGCATAATTACGTCTACTTGATCTGTGTAGTCACTGGATGGTCCGCTTCATCAGCTACCACATCAAACGTATTTATTACTTTAAAAGGATCTTGGTACCAGAGTGAAAACCATGTGTTACAAGATCCGTCTCGGCACCTCTTTCGGGTAAAAGATGGTTCCTCTGTTTACGTTTATCACAATTTTTTTTCTTCTCTTAAAATGTAATGCAAAACTAATCTTTTATAATAAGCTGGACAACTACATAAAGGTGGGACGAACAGCATGTTGCGAGAAACAACAGCCAAGAACAGGTGAGTGTACTGGAGATTCACTACAGCAAGCTTGCATTATGAAAGAGGAGCCTGACTGACTGACTGACGTAATTTTTTTTTTTTTTTCGAACAAATCTCATACAAATGTGAAGAAAAAGAGAATTACCACAATTCAATGTTGAAGATTGTAAACGGTAATGTGTGATTAGTTGCAGGGTGGAATTCACACTGGAAATGAAAAGCAGTTTTATTCTTTATTCTGCGTCTTGTTTTGTTTGATGTGTTCTCATAAACACATAACGTTGACAATCTTCTTTATCTACCGATATTCCAGTTTTAAATTGCTCTAACGTGTGGCTGATGATTTCATTAGTGATATCTTCTCCTGTTTGTCCCAAATGTCATTTTCTGCCTCTATAAGAAATAGCCTGCAGCTGATCGCGCCCTTATGTTTGTGTCAATGTTAGTATCTTTCAAGTTTAAGTCTATATATATATATATATATATATATATATATATATATATATATATATATATATATATATATATATATATATATATATACACTATAGCGCAACTTTCCTCTTTCTGCCTTTCTGTATTTCATGTTTCTAATGACATCCTTTAGAATGCCACATTCCTTCAAGCGGGAGACATGTCCTAATCAGCGCAGGAGTTCAGTGTTGTCATTCTTGCTCTTCTGCAAACGCACAATTATTGGGGACCAAGTTTGGTCTTCATATACATATACATATATATATATATATATATATATATATATATATATATATATATATATGTGTGTGTGTGTGTCTTCATATATATATATATATATATATATATATATATATATATATATATATATATGTGTGTGTGTGTGTGTGTGTGTGTGTGTATGTACATCTATATTAATAAATATGTTCATTTTCCGAGTTTATTAACTACAGACTCGGACACTACTGAACCGATTGCTTCCAATTTTTCACACAACGTTGCCTTTGACTCAAAGCGTGTTTTTTTTTTCCTAATAAAATCGCACAACACACGAACGACGTTGCTCCAGCAACAATGAAATCAGTTTTTGTTTCGTTGCCGGCCCGGATTTGTTTTTAGTTGATTGGCCACCTTCGACTGCTGAGCAGGACTGCCATTAGATGTCTTTTCCCCTAGGATCAATCTCTGACATTTCTTTACCGATCGCTTTCAATTTTTCACACACTGTTGCCTTAGACTCCGCGAGTGTTTGTATATATGCTTTTTTTCACAGACTACGACCGACGCAGCTCCAGAAACGATCATTTCATTACTTTTTTCGTTACCGGCTCGGATATGTTTTTAGTTGATTGGCCACCTTAGACTGTGTAACACTGAACTTCACATTATTATTATGTAATTTCATTTCTACTAAATCCTTGAGTATTTGGTAGCGTAGTTATAGGCATCTCGCCTTTCACGCGGGTGATCGGCGTTCAATTCACCTCTGGATGATATATTATTTTTTCGGCTCTTAACTGGGTGGCTGGCACGTTTTAATGCGGTTTATATCTAGACTGCGATATGTATACCTTTTTTGCTCGGTTTTGGGGTTTACAGCTAGCCAGCGATAGTGGTGACGTGATGCTTGCTGGTCATGTCACGGGTAATATTTATTCGTTCCTTGGGAGAACGGTTGGCACGTTGTGTTGTGGTTTACAGCTAGGCTGCGATATCTGACCTAGAGTCAACAGTCTTCGGTAGTATAGTTCTAAGTAATCCGAACAGACACTGTTAGCTCAGGGAGTTATAACTTTTATTTACAGTTTTCATTTCTCAAATATTTTTTTTTTTAATACTGCTTCCTCAGCTATTCTATTTTTTTTTTTTGGGGGGGGGGGGGGGGGGGGGGTGGTGTTGTCAGTTTGAGGTATAGCAGTCAGCTTTACATTCGCCTGTACTTTTTTCCATCACGAAATATTACTGTGGGTTCCATCACTGGTTAGGTGATGAGGTTTTTTTTTTTTTTCCATGTCGGGGGCAAAATTAAACTAAACAGTCCGTGGCGACAGCATGCGGCGTTAACTCCTCTAGCTACACATGCCTACACAGACTGTAGAGACAGCTTTTGTTGTTGTTGTTGTTGTTGTTGTGATGGTGGTGGTGGTAGTGGTAGCAGTAGTACTGGTACTGTATGGGTGATGTGGTAGCTGTTACACTGGTCACATTTACTTCTCAGTTCAAATTGATGTTATCCATTTTATTCTGAGTGTACACGGATGCCAAGCTCACTTTAGTTACAATATTTCGTCAGATGATGACTTTCCGATCCTCAGAGAGGATGATATGATTAGGGGGGGGGGGGAGGGGCGTTTCACCTGTTTAAGCACATAAGATTCTGGGCAACAGCAACGCGTGGCCGGGTACAGATAGTTTATTAATAAAAATCTAAATTTTCATTGGTTGAAACAGCTAATCTCGGGCAGTTTTTAAATTGTAGCTTTCAAATTTTTACACAACGTTGTATTAGACTGAGCGCTTTAAAAAAAATTAAAGTATTGCACAAGGCATGAACTACATAGCTCCAGCGACGTTCACATTGGCATCTTCTTTTTGTTTTCCGACGATCCGATTTATTTTTCCTCTTTGCATCGTTCACGTCTTAAGCTGTTATTGATGCTGATAGGGTAATTTGACTGTTGACCTCGGAAATCTGCCTGAGGCTGGTCGTTGTGGAATCTAAGAGGTGTTGACAGAGTGTTTGGAAATGTTAAGATGTGGGCATTTCTTCAGTGAGTGAAAAAGGAGTAGTCAAGGCATTTAGAAGGAAAGGAAGGGTGTGATGACAGAATTTGTTAACCGAGAGAGCTTTAAGTTCCTTTTAGGTTGAGTCGACGCGGATGCCAAAATCAATTTTTAAAAATCGTCAGGTTATGCATTTCAAATCCTTTGGAGATGGGGGGAAGAGTAGCTTGTAGATTGAGGAGTGGGGAGTCAGTCACTGTTAATTGATAGAGCTGAAAATATTATTTTAATTGAGCTGAAAACATGATTTTAAAACATCATTTTGAAGTTGTAATTTCTTCTATCTATATGTGTGCGTGTGTGTGTGTGTATATATTTATATATATATATATATATATATATATATATATATATATATATATATATATATATATATATATATATATAATGTATATAATTGGGTAATGAATTTCGAATCCTTCGAAGAGGGAGGGAAGAATAGTGTGGGGATTAGGGAGGGGTTGGGGTGTCAGTCACTGTTAACTGATAGAGCTTAAAATATGATTTTAATTGAATTTAAAACATGATTATAAAACATGATTTTAAAGTTGTAATTTCTTCAATCTATATATGAATATATATATGGTCTGTACCGAATAGTGATTTTCACTATTCGGCCGAATACGAATAGCTGAACCAACTATTCGACCGAATACGAATACGAATAGTGTATCATCATCTTAGGTGCCTTGCCAACTGGCATCGGCGATTATGCCTCGCCACAATCTGCGATCTCCTTCAGCATGTATTAGTTCGTGTGCTGACACAAATCCATGCCATGCAATAAGACTGTCAGAATCTTCTTTCGTTGTCTTCCTCTATCCATCCTTCGACATATCTTTCCAGTGGTGACCACATGTTCCATTTTCTCTCATCTTATAACATGGCCGAAAAAATGATGACTGTCTCCTTCTGATGTCTGTGAGTAGTTGTCTTCGGGCTCCCGCGTCTTTCAAAACCTCTTGGTTGCTTTTTTTGTGTGTGTGTGGCTGTCCAAGGTATTTTAAGCATTGTTCTGTAAAAACACATCTCTGAGGCCTTAAGAAATTGTTTGGCCTGCCTACCGATTTTCCAGGACTTACAGCCATATGTTAAAACTGGATGTGTGTATCAAGCAAGAATTCTTTTTCTAACCTCAAATGACAAAGATATATTGCATAAGATGTTCTTTATTTTAAAAATGCAGTTTGTGCCTGTCCTTTTCTGTTTCTTATTTCAGTAATGCATCTTCCATCTGAAGTTATCAATGTGCCCAGATACTTAAATGTCTGTACTTGTCCCAAAAAAAACCCATTGACTTTTATTACACATTTAGGAATTAATATTTTCTTTGATACCATCATTATTTCTGTCTTTCCACTATTTAAACTATTGCCCATTCTTCCACTTTTGAATAGTGTATAAAATAGATCTAAAAAAACATCTATATTGTCAAATGTACGCTGAAATTTTACTTCACAAAATGTAGTACAAAAAAGCAAACATTAAAAAACATTTCATGTTTTGCATCCTTCAGTCAGTCAGTCTGTGGTAACTAATACCTAGGAATGAAAGTATTCTTAGTTTTATAACAAGCAACTAAACTTGTAAATTGTAACTGACAGCTTAGTTAATCTATGAAAGCAGTATTAGCTAAAAAAAAAAAACATATATACATACATATATATATATATATATATATATATATATATATATATATATATATATATATATATATATATATATATATATACTTGCTGTACCCGGCCATGCGTTTCTGTCGCTTAGTTTCGCTAAATGAATGAAGAAGGTACACACACACACAAATGTCGCACGTGTTTGAGGAGAAACGAGGCTTACACAGTACGGGTTTTTGCCGTCGAAGTGGGAGCGAGAGGCCTCGTTTCCACTTCGCTCTACAATGTGGTAAAAGAACTAGGATTGCGCGGTAATGAACGGAAACGAACACTTAAAAAACTGGGAGAGGTTGCCGAAAGGGCCTCTAGCTGGCTGTGGACGCAGCGCAACAACGTAGGGGACGGGCCTCGGTGAGCTGGTCCAGGTGTCTAGCGGAAAGGAGTTTCTCATCCCTTTGAAAGTCCATCGTGTACGAATTGTCTGCCAGTGTCCCTCTGCCAACTGCTAATAAAAGTCCAACATGTGTCCGGTAAACCAAAGTAAGCTTGTCGCTCGGTCGTCCAGGCATGCGGACTGTTTTAATTACGCTGTCGCGGCGACTTCTTATCTCACAGTACCTCCTTCGAAACCACTAAGTCGTCTTGTCTCTGGCCGAAATAATAACACCATCCGGTAATTCTGTGCAGCGGGGAAGCAGCCCTGAGCTTCATGAACTCAGGTGGGCCCACCTCCGAATACGTTTAGGAATCGTGGGCCGAAACGTGTGTCGAAAGAGGATAATTTCTACTGATGACTGTAGATCCCCGCTGTACTTGCTCCCTGTGAGTTTATTCTTATTGGTTAGACGTAATTAGACATGCGCAGCTTTAGAGTTAGTCTTTGATGTCACCCTTAAATCCACCGACTACTTTGTAACTCATCGAAGGTTTGAAAAAAAAAAAAAAATAGAAATCGTACGTGTCTTATATCGTTAATGTCGCAATCGTTGCCTGCTTAGATATAGTTATAGTTTGGTTCGCTGACTCTAGAACGCGCAACCTATAAATGAAATATCACTGTATATAAAAAAAAAATTAGTTTCAAAAATTATTTCCACAAATTGTATCACCTATTTTTAACTATGACATAAAGCATCCCCAAATCAAAACAAACGTGTCCTGAAAATGTCATCTAAATCGGTTCAGTAGTTTCCGAGTCTATAGGTAACAAACAAACACAAAACACTGATTTATTTATATTATATTATATTATATATATATATATATATATATATATATATATATATATATATATATATATATATATATATATATATATATATATATATAAAGAATACGTTTCACATATGACATGTGGTTTCTCTCGCCCCACCCCTCCCCCTTCCCTAAATCAGGCAGCTTTTTGTTCTAACATATTTTTTGTGTGAACTTGGAAAGTAACGCAGGCACCTTTCCTATTCGACCGTTCAGATTTGCATGTATGATTAGATTCGAAAGCGTGGTTAATCAGACTATAGTACAACCAACAAGTCATCACCGTAAACACCAATGCACCGACTACTAATTAAATATAGCTAGTATGACTTTGATACTTGCACTCATTGTTCATTAAGCATGCGTCGGAACAGTACAATTGCATCGATTTGCACCTCTCACTAATTCTTTTTTTTTTCCTTTAAAATTTTACACAGTCTACTTTTGTTAAAACCGTGTTAACATCGCGCTCCTGTGTGTGTGTGTTTTGTGTGTATGTGTGTGTGTGTGTGTGTGTGTGTGGTTAATTGTTTCTCTCAAACAGCGCTTCAGAAAAGCAATATGCGTTCATAACATTGCGCTCCTGTGTGAGTGTGTGTTTTGTGTGTGTGTGTGTGTGTGTGTGTGTATGTGTGGTTAATTGTTTCTCACAAACAGCGCATAAGAGAAGCAATATGCGTTCATAATTTTTTCGTGACACACATATAGCTTCATAAACATCTGTCAGTATATCTTACTAATTTCAAAAGTGGAAACGTTGCACATCATCACACAGATAATGAAATATTGACTTCTAAATTAAAGTTACATCTAATTTATCTCACTCCTCAGTCTGGTGCGGAGAACTGGTTTATGTTAACAACAGACGATGACTTAGGAGAGCTGAACTCTGTTGTTATCTGGACTGATTTCTCCGGAGCCTACCCTTCCTGGTTTGTATAAACACAGTCATTGGTACTACAGAGCATGACATTAGTGGTTGCGATCTGAAGTTAAAATGTTTATGTCGGTGGTGTGTAAAGCTTGTTTACAACACATGAACGCTCAGCCTTCTTCTTCATCTTCTACTTCTTATCTTTACTCCTGGAGTGCCTTGCCGTTTAAGGCGCTTTCTGTTTGCTTCGTATAAAGTACATTAATGTGTCTATTAATGTGTCTCTGATATTTCAGCGGTCCCTGTTCTGCCTGGTTCACCTCTGGGTCTGTAACCATTGCATCTACATAGTATTACTCTCTTTGATGCCCTGTCTGATGGCAATCTTGTTACATGGCCAATACGTTGTCTGTCTATAAGTTTCAGTATTGGTTCTGTGCCGACTCTCCTCCTGATATCATCGTTCGTGAGTCGATCTTTCCTCGTTACACCTAGAATAGTACGTAAACATTAAATTTCTGTAGTGACTATTTTTCTTCTGTCTTCTGAAGACAGTGACCATTTTTGACACTGATAGCACAGCGTTATTAAGAATATTGTGTTAAATAGGGCTATTTTAGTGTTCTATTCACATGCTTGCATTTAAACATTTGTGCCATTTTGCCTAAAACTTGCAACTTTAAAAAAAAAAAACAGAAAGAAAAACTGCATGAAACATATTATAGCACCCATATTCATGAAACTGGAAAATATTCACTTATCATCATTAATTACAGTATTTTTTTTTTAAATCTAGATACTAAAAATTAAATTTTTCTGAAGACAAGATTTTCATATATTTCGAAGACGGAGCAGAAGTGTGTGTAGTGGCAGGTGAACAGCTAGGAAAGGAATAAGAGGAGGAGGAAAAAGAAGATGAAGAAGAACAAGAACAAGATTTACAAAAAGAAAAAGGCCAAAAGAAGAACAAAAACAAAAAGACTGATGAGAATGAGGAGATGGAGGAGACGATGAAAAAGAGGAAGACGATGAAGAGGAGAGGAAGTCAGGGGAGGAAGTGGAGCAGGAATAGGAGAGAAGCCAAGCGGAAGGTGAAATGGAACAGAAAGCCAAACTGAAGCATAAGTAGATGGACAACCCTGTGCCGATCTGGCCGCTGTTATCACTATGTTAGATACATTTATTGATGACACATGCTGCTGTACATTGTGACGTGTAGTTTCCAACACCGGACGGCTTGAAACTGCTTGCCCGGACAGTATCAGGGACATTTTTTTTTTTGCACTGCGGCAGAGAAGGGATCAATACCAATAACCTAAGAATTATAAACATTAACAATATTTCTACTGTGTAATTTTCTTACCCCAGAGACAAGCAAATATAACTATCCAAGTCAAGATTGGCTGACTGCATATGCATATATTTTAAATGCTACTATTGATAAAATGCTAAGAAATGAGCAGGCATGTTTTCGGTCAAACAGATGCTGTACTGACCAGATAGCCACAGAACGTATTGTAATAGAGCAAGGCATGGAACTGAACTCACCACTCTGCATTGGATTTATAGACTATGAAAAAGCATTTGACAGCATTGATAGGGAATCTCTCTGGAAATTGATGGGGCACTATGGAATCCCACAGAAACTTATCAACTTAGTAAAGACAACATATAAAGACATGAAATGTCGAGTTCTTCATAAGGGAAAGCTAACAGATGCATCTGAAATTAAAACAGGTGTGCGACAGGAATTCAGTGGACCCCTACAAAACAGCTTGATGATCTGGACTTCGCTCATGATATTGCACTTCTGTCCCATTCACGGAATTAAATGCAAGATAAATTATATATACTTGATGCGAGATCACAGCAGCTTGGTCCGAAAATCCACAAAGGAAAGGCAAAGATAATGAGAATAAATCAGGCAAATAGTAATGTGGTTTCTCTTAATGGCACCCCACTCCAAGACGTGGAGCCCTACATCTATTTAGGCAGTAATGTAGATAAAGATGGAGGAACTGAAATAAGAATACAAAAGGCAAGAGGGGCTTTCATTGCACTGGGGAATTTGTGGAGGTCAAAATAAATAAAAAGAAATCCTAAACTAAAAATTTTTAATTCTCATGTCAAATCAGTACTATTGTATGGGGCGGAAACACGGAGAACAACCAAGACAATTACTTATAAACTACAGACATTCATTAACTGGTGACTGCGCAGAATAGAGGGGATTAAATGGTATGATTGAATAACTAATGTAGAACTTTGGGAGAAAACGAAACAGGCTCCAGTGTGGACCCAGAGTTGAGGAAAAGACGCTGGAGTTGGACAGGACACACACTGAGAAAACAGGAGAATAGCATAACTAGAATGTCTTTGCATTGGAACCCACAGGGGCATAGGAATAAAGGAAGGCCTAAAAACGCATGGAGAAGAGAGCTGGAGAATGAAGTTAGAATGATGGGGAGGACACGGGGAAAGCTCCATGCAATGGCGAAGGATAGAAGGATTTGGCGTGAGTTGGTTGAGGGCCTATGCTCCATTAAGGGATAGAAAGGCAGAAGAAGAAGATAATGCAGTATTACTTAGAATAGATAACTGATAATTTATATTTTTTCTTCTCTGTGCGCAGGTTTCTTAGTTCTGTCTTTGTACAGAATATGCAAACTAGAGAGACCTGGATTTGCCATTTTAACAACTGGATCAGTGTAGATCTAGGCACAGAGCAGCTACAGGTTGAAATCCCTGCTATTCAGGTACAATATTATATCAATGAATTGTTTCCCAAAGTAGGTTTAGTTAGACCGAGCGCAGTGGTGATCTAGTGTCAGGTAGTTGCTTAGCGCGCATATGAGGAAAGTGGCTGTGCCATCCGTTCTGTAAAACAGCGTGTAGTATATTTAATGCAGGATGGCTGCAACACACTCCTTCCAATAAGTTGTACCACTGTGAGAAAATAATTAAACCAAGCAAGAATGCAATCACTACAAAGTCATCTCTTTCGTAAGCCATGCTGAGAAACGGTATTCCTAAATAATCAAAATATGATTAAGACTAGTGCAGAATTTTAGGTAGCAAAAAAAAAAAAAAAAAAGCCACAAAACAAGACAGTGTTTGCTAAAACATAGAGTAATGAAACGTCTCATCGGAGTGTTTAGACTTTTTAAACATGGATTGCAGACGCGTAGAATAAATCAAAACGGCTGATAGTAACATCTGGAGTCTTTCATAGCTGCATCTTACGAAATATATGATTAACAACAGGGTAAGCTAAGTGCGTGAAGTCCAGGAAAAACACTATTAGTAACAAGAACATACTTCTATTTGCTAACGATCAGAAATTAAAAGCAGATGTAGCAATGCGACTGCAAACCTATCTCACACGTTTGGATGAAGAATAAAAGCAAATAATACGAATATGAGCTCTTTTTTGTGTCCACACTCTGCTTTGTGCTGCTAGATATCAGGTTATCACCGTTGAAAAGCTGATTCATACATAAACTTGACAATGTAATCTCACTGGCAGTGACAGCCGGTAAAAGTAATGTTAGTCTCTCCACGCCCCACCCATACACACACTACTTTACTTCTGATTCATAGTTCCTGAACCTGTCACTTTGGCACAAGGTTAAGGCGGTGTTTCGCGATGCCGTTGATATCGCATGTTGTATATGTCAGAACGCCAGCGCTTTTAACGCTCCAAAAAATGGAGAAACTGACCCTAACACAACTATGTCACACGCATTCATTTCTCGGAATAAAAACATAAATTCGAGACAACGCAGAAACCAAACAAGAGAGGGGGACACACCCGTAACCTTCAGTCGATTAGATCAACAAACTTGTGAATGACCTGCTTTGTTAGGGTAGATTAACCTTGCTTTGACGTGAGCCATATGTGGGCGCGTTTGTGTCCGCGTGCGCATGTGAGTATGTGATTGAGTATGGGTTTCTCTCTCTCTCTCTCTCTCTCTCTCTCTCTCTCTCTCTCTCTCTCTCTCGCTTTATCTCTCTCTCTCTCGCTTTCTCTCTCTCTCTCTCTCTCTCTCTCTCTCTCTCTCTCTCTCTCTCTCTCTCTCTCTCTCCACTTATAATCTCCCTCCAGTTACCTGGTCGAAGTCTTGGGGACTTGTTATTCTGATTCTAGTTTCTTTATTTTTGATTTCATCTCGTCATGTGACCCCAGCAGGTATTCTACGTTTTCTTATCCATACTGTGATGTTTTTGCGCCTTTTCGGTTATAGTAATTAGAGGCACTGGAATCTAGGGCCCAGGCACCCTGTACGTCGCCATGTTAATCTGCTCCATACGCTTCATCACGATGTCTGCTAAACGACTTCTTGATGAATTCTTATTTAAACATTATTGACAAATTGAATTTTTTTTAACATTTTTTTTTTTCATTATAGGAGAAAGCATATTCTTCAAACTGGACACTACAGATTGTAAAAAAAGGTCAAAATGACATTCGAAACGACCACCTGTGGTTTGGAATTCTATTGAAGACCCCTTACAATAAGTTTACACGGGTAAAAAGTAGAACAATTTTTTATGCGTTGTATATTTTAAGAATGGTATCTGCATTGGTACAATAGCTAGCATTCTTGCCTTTTAGCCTAAAGGTCATAGTTGAATCCTTCCAAAAGGAAAACTCCAGAGAAGAAAAAAGGTCGCTAAACTTTGGCTCATGAAATATTACTGAAATTCTTCTGAAGACTCCGACCATATATGACTGGTGCATAAAGACAATATAAATACCTGATCTGCAGTTTGTGTCAGCTACTTTAGAACAGATTAATACAAAGTTTAGTACTCTTAGATCGGTATTAAAACCCGACGTACCATTTATAGACCGCTGCAGACAAGATAGAGGAAACCTACACACTAGTACAAATGCTGAATGTATTCAGCCAATTCAGGAACGGATGCCTGTACTCACGAAATATGGGCAATCCCTTAAGGTGATCATTATAGTAGACAACATTTTGTGAAACTCAGTTTAAAAGACGACGCGTTGGCACATGATTGCACCTCACAAGATAGTGGTCTTATTTACACATATGGTTCT